ATATGTACATTCTTGCGACAACTCCAAAATCGCTTGGCTTATTACCAAGAGGTTCCACAAACTTTGTTTCTGATGCCGTTATTTTGGAAACTGCTATTAACCCATTTGTTCAAGGATCTTCTGTATCGCATATGGATTTTGCAACTTATCTAAATACAAGTGATTTCTTAATGATGTATAAAGCGGTAGTAGGAAAAACCATCGAGGAATTAATTAAGGATGGAGGGAATTATCCTGGTGGGGTTATTGGTCCAAAACTTAAATTAATGTTGGAAACTATAGGGTATGTAAGATTCTTTTGATCAGAAGTTTTAAAAAATTTTTAAATTTTAAATAAATTTCTTCCATTTAATAGGTATACTACAGAAGACAATCCGAATCCATACAAGCCAAAGCCATTCAAAGAAGAAAAAGCAATATCTTCCGCTATAAATCGAAGATTTTCTTTCGGTTTCACATCAAATATTTACATATTAATATTTACCTTATTATATCTTATAATTTAATTGATCATCAAAAGTTTCTAAATTAATTGTTACCTATATAATGAATTTTACAATTCAAGAAATGGCAAATGATCTTAAATCTGAAAAACATGTGAATATTAATACATATAAAATTAATACCTAAGATAAAAATAAAATAATATTTAATTAAATATATTAAATGCAAAAATTATAAATAATTATTTATTAATTTTGTTATGAAGTTGAGAAAATTTAGAATTCTAAATAAGTTGAATTAATTTACAAGTCAGATAAGCTAAGTTTAAATCAAGTTAAGTTTATATTTTTTTGACTTGATAATTTGCAAGTCAAATTGATTTTAAGTCAAGTTAAATATTTAACTCAACTTGATTTAAACTTGACTTGAACTCAACTTAAATCAAGTTGACATGAAACAATTAATATTAATATTTTTAAAACTATAAAATTATAATATTATTAATATATAATAGATTTAATATTTTTTATTTATTTTAAATGGTTTTTTTATTAATAAAATATATTAAAAATAAAAAATTATTATAAATTAACTAATAAATCTAGATTTTTTTTAACACTTATTTCTTTTTCTATTATTTTAACAGTTTTTTCAATTAATGTAATTGCACTTATATAAAGCTAAAAAAAGATTTATTTTTTTTAATTCCAATTAATTTAGTAATAATAATGTTAGATTTTTTAAAAAAAATTATTTTAAAAAAATAATACAAATTTATAGCTTTATCTCATTATAAATTATATTAAGAAATTAAGAAAAAAAATAAATAAATACAAAATTCAGCTTTATCTCACTGAAAATTGCATCTATTTATATAAAAAAGAGTTTATATAGAAGAAATAATTTGATCTCAAAACTATATAAAAATTATTTTTATATTTTTAGTTCTATTTAAATAAATTTTTTAAAAAATTGTTTTTACTATTTTAGTATAATAATTTATAACTAAAAATGGTCCCCATAATTATTTTCAAATTTCAATTGAGTTGCAACTTAATTGTGCCATAAGGAAATTTAATTGCGCCACAAGTTGCAACTCAATTGCGCCATTTTTTTCAATTGCG